GCCGCTTTAGGCTTCCCGGATGGGGACCTTGAGATTATCGTGGCCGGTAGTTGGAGACACTAAGTGATACAGCTGTGTGCAAACGGTAATGCTAGTGCATCTACTCATTATCCTTGGTCCGTGTGAACTCTCTATCTCTTCTTGAATCTGCTCCCAACATTCCAATCTTTCTACTGCTCTTCTGTCCAAATGGGTAGTCATGAGACAGCAACCGAAACTGCCACACGAAGGTGCATGGTTAATGGTTTTAAAGACTGAAGTGAACTGCACTAAATAGTCAAAGTATCGCCATCAAACTCGGAACCCAAAAATACAACGGAGTACTGATCTCGAAAGTTCAATCCAAATGATTCACATTTTACTGTTGCATGCATGAGTATGCGAGTTTTAAACCAAAGAATGAAATAAGGGGAAGAAAAGAATCCTCCGGCGCGAAATAGAAATTCCACCTTGTGCGCATTACAACAAACGCATTTATTTGGTGGGTTCTAAAGAGTCGAATTAGTCACGATCCCCTAAAAGAATATCAAGCCTGTGGAACCAACTCTGACTGGAAGTGGAACCAAACGAATAGATGGAAAGGACGCTTTTTTAGGTAGTGTGCACGTTACCCAGGCCAATAATCAATGTCGTTGGGACCTAGAATCCGTTTATTTCCCTCGACGACTGTCGCTTCATCGTCTCCTTTTCCCCTACCTCTCTCTTTCTCTCCGTCTGCTTTCAGTGGAGCGGATTTGGAAAACCTGTTGGAATTGGCCAAGCAAAACGCTCAACTGGATCAGAAAGATTTTCTAACTCGGAAACATTTGTTTGATGCTTTGGACGAATTACGACCTGCTTTGATGCAATGAATACAGACCTGTACAGAACGCCAAATTAGTCTTTTTCTCTATCTGTGCTTGTTTGCTCCCCTGGTTAACTTGTGGACTGTGTTATTGGGATAAATGGTTGGCTCTCTTGCACACCTTTCACTCCGCTCCCGTGATAAAGTCCTTTGAGAACGACTAGGTCGATGAAAGCCCTACTGGGGCTGGTAAATTGCGTTTATTAGTCCACACCATGCGAGACGTGCCTCTATACATTACAGGTTTCCTTACTATCTCTCTTGTCATTTCTGATGTTTTATTATCAGGCAATTAGATCTCGTGGCTATTTAATCTGTCAAAGTAAATATTTTTCTCGATTCTACTTCATGGTTTGTTCACTTGCTGTCTTGTGTCACTAATCGATGGCTCGCTCATAGTATTATCAGTATTCTTCCTAACCATTCCTCAGTCCTTCGCCTATCTACAGTTGCGTGACGACTATGCGTCTTCATGTGTTTCTCTTACAGTTCAATCTGTTGCACGACATCCGTGTGGTTACATGTTGTTGTGGGTTAGTTGCCTGGACCTCGATATCAGCTGATCTTTTCAATGATACCTCGCACACCCCCTACGAGCTTCCTTCCAAATCGATTCAGAAGACATACTTGTGTTTATGATTTCCCTAAAAGTGTGTATTAAAAAAATAACTGACTGAATTAGGCACCATCTTCGTTTGATTTTCATTCGTTTAGTTAGATCATGCATGCAATAGATGATGTCGTGTGTCATTATTTTCGTCGATGTCCAGACAGTAATGAGGTCGTGTGTATTCTTACGTGTCATCACCTTATTTTCAGTGCCAGCCATATCGGAGCCAGACCTATACAGTTGCGCAGTGAATGATCTGATATGACAACATGCTCGGAATGCTAGGAGGTGAGTCCAAACAAAACCGTATGACCTTAAGTTCGTAGGTTTTCAGTGGCTGCCCCTGAGTTATCATTAATGGATCATATAGTATCTCCATTGTGTATAAATTGTGCGTCATCAAACAATGAACGTCTTCGTGATACCGGAATTCTATGCAGCACGCATTTGGTAGCGCGCACCTTATTCCCACTGGTTTACTTCCCGCCACTGCAAATTGCGATCCCGAATTCAAATAAACCAAACCAAAACCTCCGTGAATCATTTTCATCTATGCCACCTCTGTGATCATTTAAGTCGGATGCCAACTCCATTCTCACTTTTCGATTAACACTGAGGTGCACCTCGACTGTTTGTTTATCCAGGCGATATTATCCCGCTATGTGCAAAATTCTGAGACAGTGACAGAGGTGGGACTTAAGTTGTCTGGACCAGGTGTGGTCGACACCTTGAGAGAACACGTGTTTATACATCTCACTAAAGGTGATGGGAGTAAACAAGGGTTGGATTTTTAGAGAACTGAAACCAACATAACTGGGGTATGTGTCGGGCGAAGAATTAATAAACGCAGTATTGAGTTTTTCAATATCAATATGAGAACTGAGAATCACTTTGTTTTGCCTGCAGAGTAGATTGATTCCACGCCACATAGATTTACATTTTCTCGTCCCAAAAACCTGAATTGCATTAAGGGAGTCCCACCGCCTTGTTTCACTCTTGATCAGAAACGATAATCGTTGCCACATTTAAACGCACGTTCCTTTTCACGGCGAAGACGTTTAAGAAAAAAGGTTGATATTCTGCCATGTTGAAGGATCAAAGTTATCACAGGACAGCGCATGTCAAAAACACAGTTTAACACTTCTGTCAGAG